GCAATAAATATGAATACGCCTCCTAAAGATTCGTTTGTGAAGCCGTTTCGTACAAGGATTGACCAAATATCACGCTACTATAGTCAAACTGAATAACTTTTATATACCTATAGTGATTTTCCAAGAGTAGCTTCTATGTGGCACAAGGCCGAAATTATTGATAAACCAGTGAGTATCGAACTCACTCGTAATTGTTCTAAGAAGACAAGCTTGTTAACCATTGCACCACCTCGAGGTGCCCAGAAATGATTTTCTAAGCGTAGGTTAGATGTGACACAAGGCTGAAAATGTGGAGCACTCAGTGAGACTCAAACTCATTACTAAACCGTAACGGATCAAGGGAAACATGCTTGTTAATTATTACACAATTTTTTTTTCCTGTAAAAATGTATTGCAGGTAATATTTTTTCCTCAAAAGTGTATTGTTGGTAATATTTTTTCTTCAAAAAATATATTGCTGGTATTAATACCTATTTTTATATTTTCATGGTGTTTTGACCCCAGTTTGGGGGTTAACTTTTTGTCTATAGCTGGGACCCTATCAGGTGCTACCACCCCGTGTCAGGGTGAACCTGGGAACACCAGCAATTAAGTGGTGGTTCCACGCTCCTCAAAACCTCCTGATCAGAGGCCTTGCTGTTGGACGTAGTTTATCGTCTTACCCAGGACGAGGAGCGTTGAAATTTCATTCCGGTGATCAGTGAAATTAGAAATTTTATAAGGCACAACCTTATAAAATTTCTAATTTACTGAAATTTTACAATGTTATGGGGCACAAGAACATTATTACTAAATCTTTGTGACATCATATAAGAACCTCATTTACTTAGAAGGGAAATTATATCGAACAATTTAGTTGTATTATAATGTAATATGATATACAGTTTCAGAGTAATCTTCACTAAACAATGCAAATTTTTAATATTTTGTCTTATAATTTGTGCCCAGCAGTATTATAACGTTATATATACTTATTTCTATTTTTTTGTTTTTACGAACGAATAGTCTAAGATAGATATAGGAGCCTTTTTTGTAAACTTATACAAATTTTTACAGTTTTTACTTATCTAATACAGTAAAAAAATTGTATATTTTCCTTGTGATGATTAAAAATTAGGATTCTAGCTTGAATATATTTTCCATTCAGTGTATCTAATATAAAATTATTTGGATTTATTCTTGAAATAGTAAAAAGCTAAAGTCAGTCTATCAGTTATTTCTGTACATTTTTCAGATGATCTTTAAAAGTCAATTCTCAAAAATGAGTAGAAGCTATGAATCTAATTTTGGCTATCAATATTTAGTACATTAAACTCCAGCTTTCGCATCGTGTGCAATGACGATTTTCGGAAAAAAGTGAAAAATCAACAGCCGCAATGATCAATCAGTCAGCCTCGCTAATCATTCCCCCACGTCGAAGCATCTTTAAATAGACTGAATTGTGTCATCCCTTGTTGTGTCATTTAACGATGAATTTTGTATTTAGCACCTAATGAGGATTGAACTCACTGTCAATGGTCAAACAGAGGCTCTATATAACGCGCTTGCGTCAAACCTTTTCGGGTTATTTTACTTAGCATCTTGTATGTGGCACACAGTGAGAATCGCTATCCATCACCTCATGCCGAGAGGCCCTGAAATATTACGCTTAATTTTTCAGTAGTAATAGTCAAACAGATGAATTTGCTTGCCATATAACTGCTTCCTGTTTTATTATTATTATTTTATTTTCTTTGATTTCTGGCGTTTACACATTTCTTTCCGGGTCCCAGGTTAACCTAAGGTTAGAAATGACATCATGACACTTTCCACTGACAAAAAACAAAAACAAAAAAATTACATAGGTAAAGCCCTTCGTAAAGTGTGGGCTGTACTTGACAGAACAATTTTTGTATCTCCTTGAGGCATGGACTTCCAGGAATTCCTTCACTTAGTCTAATGCAATCTTTTCCAACCAGTCCTAGGGCTCCAACTACAACAGGGATTGTTGATGTTCCCATATGCCACATTTTCGAAATTTCTTTTTCTTGTATTTTGACACCTTCCTTGAATATCTTCAAAGATACATTGCTGTCAGAAGGTACTGCCATATCAATAAGGAGGCACCGTTTTTGTTTGTGGTCTTTAATAACAATGTCTGGGCGGTTGGCTTTGATTGTTCTGTCACTGTGTATTGTGTAGTCCCATAGAATTGTAACAGGTCCTATCTCCGTAACCGGGTCTGGGTGGTGTTCATACCAGTTTCTTTCAGTTTCCTTCCCGTAGAAGTTGCAGATTTTCCACTGCAGATATTGGCCCACTCTGTCATGCCGGGTTTTATATTCACTGGGTGCACATATTATTATTATTTATTATTATTATTATTGAAAGGAAAAAATTCTAAGTATTTTCATTTTTTGTTTTCAGTTTTTCCGAATTCACCTGTTTTTGCCGTATGGTCACTTTGCGAAAAATTCTCACGTTTTAGAATGAATGGAATGCGGCCAAAGAGAAGAAAATGTCAAAGATCTAAAAGAAAGATTCTACAAAAAAAATGACTGACACTTCAAAGAATTACTGTAGTTTCTGACGAGAGTAATCGTAAATTAATAGTTTATGGTTAGACTATCTTCGTGAAAGTTCGGATTTACTTCCTGTGTGCACGACAACGGAAGTCAATTTTCTCTCGAAGAATTCTACGGGTTCTGTTTATTCATTCTAAAATCTTTTTTCTGTAGGTTTCATAAAAAAAATATTTGGAATGACAAAAGTACGCAGGTGTTGGCTTTAAGGAAATTTTATTCAAGATACGTGTATAGTGTCCTTTTATAGTCCCAGTAAACAGAAATAGCTCTCTCAAAGAGGCAAGTAACGAAACAAGGGAGACCACTCTTGATTATTCATAACAATATTGACCCTATTCTTCATTGTAGTGTCATAGGCTCAAATATAAATCTGATTTACATTTAAGTATAGACGTAAGTATAAACAACTGTCTTGGCAAGTGGGTTGAAAAGTTTATAGGCTGACTATGAAGGGCGTCATACTAATGAAATTTTATATGCATTAATTTCAAAACTTCTTTTTGCATGGATTCTTTCCAAGTAAACTGACATATGACTATTCAAAGAAGACTGTTCATCCTTCAAAAAAAATCATCACTGCGATACTGATTCTCAGACAAGTGTTTTTCATGTTGGGGAACAGATCATCGTCAAATCAGGAAAATAGGGAGGGTGATCAACCAGTTCAAAGGCACAGTCATGCACAAGGACTTGTATGCTGGAGCATTGTCCTGATGAAACAAGAGCTCTTTTGTAAGTTTTCCTGGGCATTTCGGCTTGATAGCTTCCTGTAACTGCCTCAGCATGTTACATAGTATTCTTCATTGATGGTGTAGCCCTTTTGAATATAGTCAATAAACACAATGCCTTTTGCATCCCCAAGAACTGAGACCATCACCTTCAATGTAGTGACCTTGATTTTCTTTGGAACAGGTAAGGAGAGATATTTCCACTGCATGGATTGTCTCTGGCTCAAAGTGATTAACCCAATACTCATTCAAGGAAATCATCTGGATCTGTCTTGAACAATGTCAGATTTTCTTACTATGTGATCAGCTGGTATGCTTTTGATCAGTTGTCTGATGTAGCACCAACCAAAGCAGAAACCTTCATTGTGTCAAGTTCAATATGCAGAATATTCTTAACTTTTTCATGAAATAAGCTAATAGCATTGGCTATTTGATTTATAGTGAAGCACTCGTCATCCATCACAATGTGGTAAGCATGATCAATATTTTCCTCAATAGTGGCAGTTGCAAGACGTTCTGACATATGGTCATCTTCAACATTCTCCCTCATCCTTCTAGATTCAGCTACCCACTTTCGCACTATTGATAAAGTTGGAGCATCATATCCTAATGTAGCATCTATGTCAGTATGAATATCCTTGGGAGCTAAACCTTTTTTCTGTACAACAATGCCAGATTTTGTCGATTTTCAAGAGAAGTTGCTGCTAGTTATATTTGAAAACATCTTTGAACAGTCAGATGTCCATTTACCGGGAAAGAAACAATGCAGTTATTAATAAGAATTGAAATTAATGCATGCAAGATTTCACATCTCCATCATCACACCTTCATAGTCAGCTTATAAAGTTTTCTGCCCACCCTCGTATTTCTGCACTGGGGGCTAAAATTTTTTTGTTGCATATATTCTGTTCTATATATATATATATATATATATATATATATATATATATATATATATATATGCCAACAAATATACGCAATTGTTTTAGAATGAAATATAATTTATTTTATGGATGATGGAGTATTCCTGTATGGAACTTGCACTAGAGGGTGAGCGCCTCTGTCGAGCTGGGGACTGTCATGCTGGTGTTCAATATTTTGAAGCTGTAGTTAAAGCAGGAACAGAAGACTTTGCCACATTGAGTGCCATTTACAGTCAGCTTGGCAACGCTTACTTCTACCCGCACTGGGGCACCTCGAGGTGGTGTAATGGTTAGCAAGCTTGTCTCGCTAGAACAGTTACGATTGAGTAGTGAGTTCGATCCTCACTGGGTGCCCCTATTTTCGGCCTTGTGCCACATCTAAGCTACGCTTGGAAAATCATTACTTCTACCTGCACTGTTGATAAATCTGTTGTGAAATCTTGCATGTATTAACTTCAACTTTTCTGTATTGTTTCTTTGCAGATAAACTGACATCTGACTTTTCATCGTGTTCGTCAAGAATGTCATCAAGAACAGATATAACCTAATCAAAAACTTTTTTTCATGTTGAGGAACGGATGACAGTTAAATCAGGAGGATATGGAGGATAATCAACCAGTTCAAAGCCATAGTCATGTACAGCAGCCATTGAAATCAAGGACTTGTGTGCTGGAGCATTGTCCTGATGAAACAAGACTTCTGACAGTTTGGTCTTGATAGTCTTTCGTAACTGATTCAGCAAGTTGACATAGTACACTACACACCCTATTTTCCACTGCGGCTTTCGTCCACATCACGTTAAAATACCCGTTCTCGTAAGATCACCCAAGTTAAACAACGTCGAGCCTGATCAATACCTGGATGGGTGACCGCTAGGGAATACCAGATGATGAAAGCTTAGATGTACCGATGGTGTAATGGATAATGTCTCGGAATTTTTAATCGGAGAGCCGAGTTCTAATTCCAGTTGGGTTCGTTATATTGACTTATGCGCAAATACCCTTGGGATAGGCATGAACCCTACTACTCCTCTCCTCCTCCCCCAAACATTAGTTTAATTAGTAAGTACCTCTAAACTGTTACTATTAAAAAATGCTGGTTTTAAAAAACCTGTAAAAGGTTTATAAGCCGTAAAAACAAATCAAACAGTATTTTTCATACTGCCATAGACACAAATATAAACCTGACCAACGTTTAGAAATGCAGTGACTCCCCATATTTGCGTGGGGTTAGGGACCAGAAACTGCCACGAATAGTTAGAATCCGCAAATACTTGTACCCCCACCCCTAAAAGTGCTTATAAGTACCTATTTTTATTGTTAAAACTCTATATGTCTTAAACTTTCATACTAAATACTTTAGAAAGATTTCAAATTTTTTTAAAAACATTTTTGAAAAATAGTATTGGTGACCATACACTTAGGCTAAATTTTCTTTCGTACGTACAATAACCGTTTTTAATTACGCATAGATCGATAGAACCATTGAAAATACTGTATAAAATATGTGAAACAAGAAATAAAGTTTAAAACATTTTCTAAAAACAGAACTGTGATGATGCCCCCCCCCAGACTTAGCCTAAGCCCCTTTTAAGGCCCCCAGCCAGAGCCCCTAACAAAGGATCAAAGCCCTATGACTACGCGTGTTTTTGCGTTTGTTTTTTTACAATAAAGATGTACAATTCTGCTAATTACTACCATAAAAAATGGACTGTTATATGTTTTAAGTCACTTAAATAACAGGAAAATAATATAAGAATATTTTAAATTCTATCGAAAAAATATTCGAATCGAGGGAGTTCTCGTCGAATAATTTGTAGATATGTTCTTCAGAAAATCACGCGAATATTCGAGGTTTCCGCGAATAACAAGTACATATGTTCTAAAGAAACATCCGCAGATGTGTGTAGCCGCGAATGCTGAAACGTGAATAAGGCGAGGGCTCACCATAGACACACACAAAAAAAAATCCCATAACTATATCCGGTTTTTACGCCATTTTCACCTGGTGTTCGATATTTTTTTAGCACAAATATTATTTTATCTGTTGTTCCGTGATGGATAGTCATATTGTTATGGTTGAAGTGACCGCTGATAAAAAATATAGAATATGCAGATGACACTGTTGATAGCAGGCACGAAATGTAAACTACTGTCAACGCATCTGAAAGCAAGGAGAAATGACTAAGCATCAATTGTAAAGAGATAGAAGACACATTGGAACAGAGAAAGATGACTTCCAAAAGCTAAGCCAAGTATAAAGTAACATGAAAATTTCGTTAAAATTAAGGAAAAGACTGGTGGTTTATTATGCAATATCGGTCCTCATATATAGCAGGGAATGCAGAACAATGGGCACACAGTTGAAAAAGAGACGGAACAGAAATGTAATTCTATAGAAGGATGCCGAAAATTCTTTGCGAGCAATGAAATTAAAAGTAAAAAGAAAACCATTTTTTTTAATCATTTCAAGGTAGTAAAGCCACTAAAACGCAAGGGGGTTACTGCCTGTTAGAGAATATAAGAAAAACTACTATTAAAAAGAGGAGACTATAATAAAAAAAATTAAGAAGACAGAAGATAACGATTGACATTGCATTTAAATATGTGAAGATCAAAGGCAATAAAACCACTAGGACGCAAGGGGGTTACTCCATGTTAGTGAATATAAGAAAAACTACTATTAAAAAGGAGACTATAAAAAAAGATTTAAGAAGACAGAAGATAATTATTGACAATGCACTAAAATATGTGAAGATCAAAGGCAATAAAGCCACTAGGACGCAAGGGGTTACTACATGTTAGCGAATATGAGAAAAACTACTATTGAAGGGAGAGTACAATTAAAGAAAAAATTATGAAGACACAAGATAACGATTGACATTGCAATTAAATATGTGAAGATCAAAGGCAATAAAGCCGCTAGGACACAAGGGGGTTACTGAGTGTTAGCGAATATGAAAAAAAACTACTATAAAAGAGAGGAGACAATAAACAAAACAAGAATTACAAACACAGACGATAGTGATTGACATTGCATTTAAATATGTGAAGATCAAAGTTAACTGGGAAGCAAGAAGCCAGAATAGAAGCCCACAGGCGATCAGTGCGATAGAAGAAACTGTCAGCATAGAATTTACGGCTACATCTATCATTTTCAACTGTAAAATGGTGAGACCTTGCCACCAAACTAATACTCTATCTGACAATCATTATATACTATCTTCTTGATTACTCTTCTATTGTTCTCGCTCCTTAATAATGTTTCTCTTTTTACTTATTCTTTCACATTCACGTGTGTTTCAGTGGCTTTACTGCCTTGTACAGTGTTCGAATTATTTAACATAATATATATTCATTTATTTATATTACAGCCATCTGGTGTCTGTTGGATTTTAAGTCCGTTAACCAAAACGAGAGAATTTTTTTTTTTTTATGTATATACTTGTACATATATACAAACCCAAAAAGCATGGTACGTACGGTGTTTAACAGCAAAATTGTCCAAATCGTGTAACAGCAGGAGATAATTGTTCATCTCACAAAATGTTTAATATCTAACCAACCACTAAACTAACTGAGTTTCTTTTTCTCATGTTTCCAGATAAGACGTTTAGCCATCTTGACACCATTTGTCGTAGGCATCACTGAAGAACCCTTTGAGTTATTCAACTAGAAAGAGAACAGGTTAAAATCGCTTTGTGTCAACCCTACTGTCTTCTCAACTGAGCAATAGTGACAGGAAAAAGATCATTCAGACCTTCAATAATGGTACGAATATTCATACTCTGGCTTCCATCCTTAAAACCAACTCAAGAATCATCAAGAGAAAGAAAAATAAGTTTTTTTGGTTTTTTTTAAAAAGGGAACACTAGAGAGGAAAACTGGATCAGGAGGCCACAACAGAAAGAGGGATCATCATTTCAACTTAGAACTAAATGCATTCTTATTGTTCAAAGTAAATTCTAATAGTGTTATAAAAACATCGGAGAATTCCAGTAAGATATATTTAATCATTTCTAAGATACAACGTTTCAAACTTAATCTGACAATTAGACAATTTTCTTGTTACACGATTTGGACAATTTTGATGTTACACGTTTGTATCAATTTTGATGTTACACCGGGTATATTAGCTTTTTTTATGTGTACTTATTCATATATGAACATATATCCATACACAGTCATATATAACCGTGCATAGATATATACACACACATACACGCATGTGCACATTTTAGAATCCTTTTTTTTTCTTTTTCTTTCATAGTGGAGTGCGTTGTTTTACCCTGATGTTATACCGTTAAAGATGCTAAGAAAATTGTCGGCTCATGATACCACTCCAGTAAAAATATGGCTCTAATCCGCTATACTCTATTTTTACAAGTGTCAGATCAGATCAAACATGAAGGATTTGGGCTGGAGCTATCCAGTCCTCGCTTGCCTTTCTTTCAAAAGCGTCTAATCGGCCTTGTGGGTGATAAACTATTTTCCATTTTACAACCCGTTTCCTATAAACGAAACATTGCGAGCCACTATCGACTTTTCCATGGGAAGTGTTCTGACGAGTTACATTCCTTAGTTCTGCCATCCCTGACCTTTTCTAATGGGACCCGCCCTGCCACGTACCCAAGGGTGAATCATCTCCATTCCATTCGTATACCTATAGTAAGAAGTAAGTTGCACTCAGGCAAAATCCTCTCAAGAACTAGTGCATTGTCGCACTCCTGAAAGGATATTTTCCCGATCATTACAATTTTGATCTCTTCAAGTCTCGGGTTAACATTTATCTTCCTTACATGACCATATGAACAACACGTCTTGACTTTATTAACGCTAATATAACACCACACACTAACCCACTACCGTGAGTGGCTCTTAGGTCTTTTCTTACTGTTATTGGGACCTGCCTTCATGGACAAAATAGACTCGTCTTATGACAATAGTATGCCTAGCAAGAAGACTGTAGACAGGAGACGAGTTGACTACTCTATTTAGCCGTCAGACGGACGTGCAACACTTCTGTATTCGTTCTTTTTGTTAATAATACGTTTTCACTGAATTACTGAGTTCGAGTTTTCTTCCGGACCTCTTCCGGGTCCACAACACTTACCCACATACAATACTGCACATTAAACCTCTACCCTGAGTGCCTCCTGTGATTTTTCTTATGATCATGCAAAACCAAACAGTAACACTCTGCTATGAGTGACTTTTGGGCCTTTTCTTATGCTCATACAACACTACACAGTAACCCTATACCCCCAGTGTATCTTGGGTACTTTCTTACGCTCATTCAACACCAAACAGTAACCCACTACTGTGAATGGCTCTTGGGCCTTTTTCTATGCTCATCCAACACCACACAGTAACCCTCTACCATGAATGACTTTGGCTTTTTCCTATGTTCGTAAAGCACCACACAGTAATCCTCTACCATGAGTAGCACTTGGGCCTTTTTTATGTTCATACAACACTACACAGCTCCCGTCTACCCTGAATCGCACTTCGGTATTTTCTTATGCTCATAAAACACCGCCCAGTAACCCTCTACCTTGAGTGGCTCTTGGGCCTTTTCCTGTGCTAATACAACACCACACAGTAATCTTATACCCTGAGTGGCTCTCGGGCCTTTTCGTATGCTCATACAACTCCGCATAGTAACCCTCTTCGGTCAGTGGGTCTTGTGGATTTTCTCATACAACATCACACAGTAACCCACTACCGTGTGTGGTTCTTGGGCCTTTTACTGTAGTCATACAACACCATACAGTAACCATCTACCCTGAGTCACATTTGGATATTTTCTTATGTTTATAAAACACCGCACAGTAAGCCTCTGTCATGAGTGGCTCTTGGGCCTTTTCCCGTTCTTATGCAACACTAGACAGTAAC